CTCTCTCTCTCTCTCTCTCTCTCTCTCTCTCTCTCTCTCTCTCTCTCTCTCGGGTTTTGGAGATCTAACTCAGGTTGTCAGGCTTGGCAACAAGCGCCCTTTCCTGTGGGATCATCTCACTGGCCCAGCTTTGCCTCCTCGAGTATGTGTTTCAGGACTCTGTGAGTCCGCACCTACGAATGTCGAATTCTTTGGTGCTTTAATTCAGAGCTTGTCCTGAAGGCAGCTGCCATCTTCTTCGTGGGATTTTCCTTGTTTGTTTCCTTGTTTCCTTTTGCTGCTGTTCTTGTTTCTGTTTTTGTTTTGAGGTAGCGACTCACTCTGTATGGTAGACTAGCCTGCAACTCACTACGTAGCCCAGGCTGGCCCGTAACTCTCAGTTATCCTCCTGCCTCAGCTCCCTGAGTACTAGGATTACATGTATGGGATACTATGCCTGGCTTTCTTTTCTTCACAGTCACTGTGAAGAAAATGTTCTAAGTCTTTCCTTCTAGTCTTTTGAAATGTAGATACATAGTAGCTGTATACCATGAGTTAGATTTAGCCAGTTCAGGTTGGCGAGATGGCTCAGCCGGTAAAGGCTCTTGCTGCCACACCTGCCCACCTGAGCTGGATCCCCAGAACGATCGTGGAAGGAGACAACTGACTCCCGAAAATTGTCGCAAATTGTCCCCTCTGGTCACTGCCCTCCCCCGCACCGTGGCACACGGTAAACGGAAAACCTTATTAAAGGTTGAAATGCATTTTTAAATGACTTAGCAGTTTCATTGTGTTTTACTCGGGATTCCATTGCTGAGATAAAACACTGGCCAGAAACAATTTGGGGAAGGAAAGGTTTATTTGGCATAAGGTGGCAGTCCACCATCAGAGGAAGCCAAGGCACGAATTTGGCAGGGGGAACTACAGCAGAAACCACGGAGGAATGCTGCTTGCTGGCTTTGCTGGCTTTGCTGGCTTTGCTGGCTTTGCTGACCTTGGCTTCCTTAACCCAGGGGTGGCACCGCCCACAGTGAGCTGGGCCTTCCCACATCAACCATAAATCAAAAGACTGTCCCACGGGCTTGCCTACAGGCCAGTCTGCCAGAGGCATTTTTCCAACTGAGGTTCCCTCGTCCCCAATGACTCCAGCATCTGGCTAGCCCGGAAACATCAAACGCAGTCTGCATACTAGCCATTTGCTTAAGTATGGAGTCAGCCCGGGCTGGTGGCCCACGCCTCTAATGCCCGTTACTCAGGAGCCGGAGGCAGGAGGGTAGGACTGTCTACATAGTGTGTTCGAGGGTAGGTGGGCAACTGAGGGAGACTCCATCTCAAAAAAGTAAAAAGGAGAGCTGGGGGTACAGTTCAGTGGTGGGGCGCCTGCCTGGCACGTGTGAAACCCACGGTTGAATGCCCACTATCAGGCAAAACCGAGAAGTGTGCAGCTCAAAGACTCAGTGTGTACGTCGAGATGTGCATCCGCCAGTTCTAAAATCCAGTTAATTTTAGAACACTTTCTCACCTCCCAAGTTAATCTTTAAAAAAAAAAATTCTTTAAAGACAGGTTATCACTCTGTAGACCCAGGGTGGCCTTGAACTCATGCTGACCCACTTTCCTCTGCCTCCCAAGTACTGGGATTATAAAGGTATGTGTCATCATGGCCAGTTAAAATTATATTTGTTTCATCTCGATAAGTTTTTCTTTGTACTTGTTTAATTTTGCTTTGTTTTGTTTGTTTTGAGATGAGGTTTCACTATGTAGCCCAGACTACCCTTGATCCTACCGCTGAAGTCCCTGAATGTTAGGATTACAGTCTTGTGCCATCATGGCTAGCTTCCAAAAGAAATCCTTCAAAACATTTTTCTACACTTACTCATTTATTGGGTGAAAGAGTAGGTGCGTTTTACAATCATTGGTTCTCTCCTTCCACCATGTGGGTCCCAGGGATCGAACCCAGGTCCTCAGGCTTGGTGGCAAGTGCCTTTATTCATGGAGCCATCTCACCAACCCTCCAAAGAAACCTTGATCCGCTTGGCTGTCACCCCTCAATCCCCTCCCCAGCTAATTCTTTCCTCCTCTCTAAGCCACCACTAATCTGCTTTCTGTGTCTACAGATTTTCCTGTTCTGGACACTCGTAGAAATACAGTCATAGAATATAAAATCAAGCAGGGTGTGGTGATGTAAGCCTGCATTCCCAGAGCTCAGGAAGTGGAGGCAGGAGGATCAGAAACCCAAGATCGTCCTCAGCTACATAGTGAGTTCCAGGCCAGCCTGGGCTATGTGAAACCATGTCTTAAAAAACCAAAACAAGCCGGGCGGTGGTGGCGCACGCCTTTAATCCCAGCACTCGGGAGGCAGAGCCAGGTGGATCTCT